CGCGTCTACAGGCGAAGGCCGTTTTGACGTAAATGAATGGGCTGAAGGCCGTTTTGACATAAATGAATGGACCTAAGGTCATTTTGACATGAATGTATGGGCCGAAGGCCATTTTGACGTAAATGAATGGGCTGAAGGCCGTTTTGACAAAAATGAATGGGCCGAAGGCTGTTCTGACATAAATAATGGGCCGAAGGCCGTTTTGACATGAATGGAAATCTGATTGGGCCAAAGGCCAGTATGTTTGGAACTACAGTCATTTGATCTGAATTTTGTATAAGTGCATATATATATGTTAAGCAGAAATATGCATTGGGCCCAAGGCCGTTCGGAGCATATTGTTCTTCATATTGCTTATGTAACTTATGTATTCGATATTATTCACTGGGCTATCGCTCACGCTCATTCATGTGTTTGTAGGTGAGCCGAGAGAAGTCCAAACCCAGCCCCAGTGAAGTCTGCCAGGAACAACATGAGTTTTGGAGAGTTTGCCTTGTGTCTCACGTACGAGACCCATTCTTGCCATTTTGTTATGTATTTATATTTTGTCTTGTTGGCAAGGACTTTGTGTACATCTGTATATAGTTTTGATATGGGTTGACTCAGTTTGGATGATCCTGTCTGTAAAGGATTTTGTGATACTGTACTCGTTGTGGGTTATTAATGTATATGTGCATGGTTTGTTTTGAGTGCATATAAGCACGGCTCTATGGACAAAGTTTTAAAATTTTGCTTCCGTTTGGCCCCTTTACTCTGATGAGTTATGTCTATTAAGGTTTGAGGCCGTAGGTAATCTCAGGATTACTGGCCGGTTATGTCCTTAACCCATAGGGACGGGTTCGGGCCATGACAGAGTGGTATCAGAGCACGAGTAAATAACTCACACACTTGTCCAAAAAGAGCAATAAGCGTCTAGATAAGATCTAGGATGCCTTCATGTGATAAATATGAATTTGGAAGCATTGATTATATGCCTAAATGTTTTGATATGAACAATTGTATGTCGTAAGTTGTGAACTACTTGCATTCCAAATCACCAGGAAATATGTGCTTCTTAGTGTATGCATACTTGTGTATCTTTTGTGTGAAATATAATGCAAGTTTAATCAGATGGTGAGAACCAGAGGTGATGAGATAGAGGAATCTTTTACTACCAGACTGGACAGAATGGAAAGACTGATTCAGGAAATGGCAGAGGCTTTGAGACAGCAACAAGAGTGGTAACAACAGTGGCAGCAACCACACCCGCCACCTCCACCTCCGGCACCACCCGTGCTAGATAATCAAAATGATGACCGGATAATAGCTCTCACCAAGGAATTAAAGAAAATGAAGCCACCACAGTTCCATGGGGGATTAGATCCGTTGAAAGCCAAAGCGTGGGTCCTTGGCATTGAGAAATTATTTGAAGTGTTCCCATGTTCAGAGACTCAGAAGGTGCTTCTAGCCACTTTTATGCTAGAAGACGAAGCAAGAAGATGGTAGATGTTGATGCGAGAAAATCATAGGGATGTTGACTGGGTAAAGTTTCTAGAAATATTTTATGACAAGTACTTTCCACAATGCATCCGGGACAAGAAAGTAGCAGAATTCATGGAACTCAAGCAAGATAGCATGACTGTAGCTGAGTATGAGGCCAAATTCACTGAATTGGCCAGGTTTGCCCCACATGTAATTGACACAGACTATAAGAAGGCAAGACATTTTGAAGGTGGACTCCGCAGTGACATCCGAGAGAGGGTGAGTTTCCTAAAGCTGGAGACCTACATTGGGGTGCTAGACAGGGCCATCATATCAGAGGCTAACATAGCTAGACAAGCTAAGCCAACAACAGAATGGAAGGGCAATAAAAGGCAAGGCTTCTTTTCGAAGAAGAAATTTCTGAAAAAGCAAAACACGGGCTCCTCAACTACTTCAAGTTCTTCCCGAGACACAGCTCCCATGTGCAACATTTGTAGCAAAAGGCACCGTGGAGTCTGTTACCGTGCATCGGGAGCCTGTTTCAAATGTGGGAAGCAAGGGCACATAGCCCGAGAATGTAATCAGAACAGTGGAAAACTAGCAGCTAGTTCAACTGCATCAGTCCTAAAGCTGGGAAATACTTTGAGATATGCTACTACTGGGGATACAGTGAGACAGGGAAGAGTTTTTGCGCTTGTTCAGAGCGATACACGGAATGTCAATGCCGTTGTCTCAGGTACTATTTCAATATGTAATCAGGATGCCTTTGTATTAATTGACTCTGGATCAACACACTCATTTGTGACATGTACATTTGCATCTAGACTAAATAGACCCCTAGAATTATTGCCATATTTGCTATGTGTGTCTGCACCATCGGGGGAATCCGTGTTGTGTGAATCCATATACCGATTTTGTGAAATGCGTGTTGAGGATGCTATCCTGTATGTAGATTTGTTACCCTTGAACTTTAGACATTTTGATGTAATTTTGAGCATGGATTGGTTAACCAAGTATTGTGCCACCATTGATTGTGTAACAAAGCGGGTCGTGTTTAAACCACCAGAACATAAGGAGATTGTGTTTGTGGGTAATGGGGTAGTGTCTCCACCTTATTTGATATCTGCAATGAAAGCATGTAAATTGATCAGGAAAGGGTGTTAGGGTTATTTGTGTTGTGTTGTCTGAACAATTTGAGAATGTTGAATTGAATAATATTCCTATTGTTAGAGAATTTCCGGATGTGTTCCCGAAGGATTTACTAGGGGAATTGGTAGGCAGGGACATGGAGTTTACCATTGAAACTGTGCCAGGCACCCAGCCTATTTCTAAAACTCCCTACAGAATGGCTACTGCCGAGATGAAAGAATTAAAGGAACAGTTGCAAGACCTTCTTGATAAATGGTTTATCCGGCCTAGCACTTCGCCTTGGGGTGCGCCAGTGTTATTTGTAAAGAAGAAGGATGGTACTTTGCGCCTGTGCATTGATTACCGGGAATTGAACAAGGTAACGATAAAGAACAAATATCCCTTATCCCGTATTGATGACTTATTTGACCAGTTGCAGGGATCTCAGGTGTTTTCTAAGATTGATTTGAGATCCGGGTATCATCAGCTGAAGGTTAAGGCAGAGGATGTTGAGAAAACCGCATTCAGAACAAGGTATGGTCATTTTGAGTTTCTTGTTATGCCATTTGGGGTAACTGATGCTCCGGCAACATTTATGGACTTAATGGATAGAATTTTTAAAACCTACCTTGATGAGTTTTTTGTAGTCTTTATCGATGATATTTTGATATACTCTAGAGATAGACTTGAACATGAACATCATTTGAGGACTGTTTTACAAATACTTCGGGAAAGAAAACTATTTGCTAAATTAAAGAAATGTGAGTTTTGGTTGGATGAGGTTGTTTTCTTAGGGCATGTGATCAACATGGAAGGAATTTCAGTGGACCTGTAGAAGATAGAGGCAATTGTGAATTGGCCTACACCGACCAATGTGATAGAAGTTCACAGTTTCATGGGCTTAGCTGGGTACTACAGGAGGTTTGTGAAGGACTTTTCGAAATTAGCAATACCTCTTACCCAATTGACACGTAAAGGACAACCATTTGAGTGGAATAGTGAAAGAGAATCAGCCTTTCACGAATTGAAGACAAGATTGACCACTGCACCAATTTTGACACTACCTTCAGGTACGAAAAATTTTGTGATTTTCAGTGATGCATCTTATAAAGGTTTGGATTGTGTGTTAATGCAGAACGGAAAGGTTATTGCTTATGCCTCCAGGTAGTTGAGGCCACACGAGAGGAACTATCCAACACATGACCTAGAATTGGCAGCAGCTGTTTTTGCTTTGAAAATCTGGCGGCATTGTTTGTATGGGGCAAAGTGTGAAGTCTACACGGATCATAAGAGCCTGAAATACTTCTTCACGCAGAAAGAGTTGAATATGCGTCAGAGAAGGTGGCTAGAACTGATAAAAGACTACGATCTAGAGATTCAGTATCATCCCGGGAAAGCCAATACGGTTGCTGATGCCTTGAGCAGAAAATCAACAGCGAATATGGCTTGTTTGCTTACTGAACAAAGGGAGATTTTGCAAGACTTGGAAATGTCTGAAATTGAAGTGGTAGTATGTGAACAGGGCGGATTGATAGCCGCTATTACAGTCGAGCCGGTAATTGTTGATGAAATCAAGCAGAAACAGAAAGGGGATGAGTTCCTCAGAAAGGTAATTGCTGAATTTGAGACAAGTCCAAAAGCAGAATTTAGCATTAAGAATGAAGTGTTGAAATTCCGAAACCGAATATGTGTCCCAGATATCTCTGAGCTAAAGAAGAGGGTTTTAGATGAAGCCCACAGGTCCGTATTTGCTATGCATCCGGGTAACAATAAAATGTATCGGGACTTGAAACAAACCTATTGGTGGCCCAAAATGAAGAAAGAGGTTGCAGAATATGTGTCCAAGTGCCTACAGTGTCAGCAAGTTAAGGCTGAACATCAGAAACCAGGCGGCCAACTTCAACCTCTCCCTATTCCTGAATGGAAGTGGGAACATGTGACTATGGATTTCGTTGTTGGCCTACATCGGACTTCTCGAGGTATGGATTCTGTTTGGGTTGTAGTTGATAGACTGACTAAGTCTGTACATTTTCTGCCTGTCAAAACTACATTTACTGCTTATAGATTGGCTACCATTTACGTTGATGAGATTGTCCGTTTACACGGAGTTCCAGTATCTATTGTATCGGATAGAGGTCCGAAATTTGTGTCTAGATTGTGGAAGAGTTTGCAGGAAGCTATGGGAACAGAACTAAGGTTCAGTACTGCATTTCACCCACAGACAGACGGGCAATCAGAACGAACGATTCAAACTTTGGAAGATATGCTTCGCATGTGTGCTTTGGATTTTCAGGGGAGTTGGGAAGATTATTTGCCACTTGCAGAATTTGCTTATAATAACAGCTTCCACTCCAGCATCGGTATTCATGAAAAAAAAGAAAAGAAAATTCAGGCTAGAGGTTTACCTCTTATGTGATGGATCAGAAAGAATTTCGGCAGCAAGTTCATCTAGGACCTCTTCCCAACCCAGTGGAATTGGTTGGTCGTCAACAAAAGGATAGCTGTATGGGCATATTAAACTAGTGAGTGGAAAAATATGTGTAAAATATACAAAGGCAGCAGATCTATTGTTCAAGATCCTACTTGTGTGCTTTGCATGCTTCAAGAGCCAAGATTGCTTTCCTAAGGTTTTGCTTCGGCTCTGTAGCAATCTTAGCAGCAAAACTCATCGGTAGATCAAAGTCTCCCTTCCTTGCTATTTGAATAAGAACCTCCATGATCTGCAAAATTGTGGGAGAGAAGAGTCAAAGAAAATTTAGGGACAATATGGGATTTTAGCCCCAGAAGATTCCCTAGCAGACTGCATACATTGCACATAGTGAATGGACCTAAAGACCAACAAAATCCTTCAATATTTCTATATTTCTATATATTTGTAGTATTTAGATTCCTGTTAACAATTCTATGAAATATTTTTGGTTAAAAGAATGAAGATACCAATCCCAACCATGTTAGGAACCCATAAGAAATGAGATTAAAATTTTCTGAAAACATCAATTGAATCTTCATGGCTTCCCAAATTAACTCTCCAAAATTTTTCCCTGCAATCATTTTTCTAGAGATTATCAGCTATGTTTATAATATGTGTGTTGATTGCAGGTCGGTGTCTAGGTGTTGGATTCATTTAATTCCCATTTTTTATTACATAGGAAACATTGAATTGTCGATTATCCATTTTCTTTCAAAGTGATATGAAGTGTTCCTATGGCCATCAACCATGCACACCATCAAGAAAGAAGAGGATAATAGTATAATGTAAGGAGTGTCATAAAATGCAACCAAGAAACAACTACTATTCAATATCAATGAGCATACTTACTTCATGAGTCACAGGAGCATCAACCTCAATAACTTTGCAGCAATTTTTAACTTGTTCAAGAATGTCCACATCATTTTCACAGCAGAGTATGAGTTTACATAAATCTGTGTAACAGTCCATGATCCATTTTATCAAGTGCTGAATGTTCTTGGAAACTTTGTCAACATCATAAAGAACCATAACTATAAGCAACCAAACTAAATCTTGTAAGCTTTATATGATCTGGGTGAGATATTATATGTTTTAGAGTAAGGGAGTTAAATTAATTTTAGAGTAGGGGAGTTAAGACTCTATGTATCTTTGGTACCAAACACAATCTATATAATATGTTTTATATATAGTTTATATACTTGAGAAAGAAGAGTGAGAATAACAACTAGGGCTGGCTTGGAAGAGATGAACAAGTCGTTGAGCAAGTACACATACATTATACATACATGCCAGTGAATACAACCGACCTACTAATATATTTTATTATATATACTATTCTCTGGTATTATATTCTCCACACTTCACAAGTCACCTCACCCCCATATGAGAGAGAGAGAGAGAGAGAGAGAGAGATTCAGTAGCTTCTGAGCAACTCAATATGACATGTTTGTTGCAACTAAGCAACCCAAACTGTCAAATATAATAATAGTAATAAAAAATCAGAAACAGAATGTATAAAGAGTTCATGAAGGTGTGGGCTCACTCACTCTCATAGTCAACTGTCATGGTAGGCTGGTAGGAGCTAGTGTAAATCCTAATCCATTAGTTGTGCCCATTGTGAATCTGCAGTAAAAATGATTTGTGTAAACATCAAATTATATACAATTAATATAGTCAACTGACATATGATGACTAAGACTCAATGACTCAAATTAAGTTTTTAAAATCTATTACAGATGAGGCGGTATTCAAATAAAATAAATTTATCTATGTCATATGGAGAATTACTAACAAACAAATCATAATTCGGTCTCCAAGATGGTGCAAATTTCTTAAAATATTGTTCATTTCTTTGTTTAGATAATGCTTTGCGCGGTCTCCAAGATGGTGCAAATTTCTAATATTTTCTTGACAATCAAACAACAAATATCAAATAAAAGAGTATGAAAAATACATGTTTCAGTGCCTACCACCTTGGATAAAAAAAATTCTTATTTTTTAGGTGAACCTTAATATATAGGAACAAGTACATACTGGCAACTTATTTTAAGTCAATGTCATAACATAAGGCAGCGCTAAGTGATGGTAAAAGTAGATGGCATGCATGTGTTATCCATTACAAATTTTCTTCATGTCAATTTTAGTTGCTCTGCTAGAGGTTAAAATGACAAGGTTGAGATATATAAAGACCCAAAACTCTTTGGTAACTCAATATACCATAACCAAACAAACATAAGAAAGAAAAAAAACAGGACATAAATTCCCCTTCCCTTTGGTTGGCAATAAACAGGACATAAGCAATTTCAGAATTCAAGCTTGATTCAAACAGGACATATGTTTTACAATCAATAGGACCCAAAAGTATAAAGATTTAGTCCTTAACAATGATTTATCCAAAATACTAAACAAAATATACATTATTGCAAGGAGGGAGGCCAAGGTCAATCCACTTGGTTGGCAAACTAACCAACCATGAGAAGGACAAGTCCTAGTTTCTGTTAGCTTCACATTAACAGCTTTAATCAATCTCCATGTTCTGCAATCCATCAAAGATGAAGATGGATACCCTTGTGCTATTCACAAGTTTCATAATTCATAAATAAAAACTCAAAGATGCACTAGGCCATTAGAAAACATGCAATGACTAAAGTTGCTTCAAAAGTCGCTACAACAAAATAAATAACGGACTAGATGTCTATCAACAGTTGTTTATCATTTGATCAAGTCATTACAAGAGAAAACAACAAAATAAATTTGGGCCACGTGCAGCTTTTTCTAAACCAGTGACTTATGATATGTAGTATAGTTTTGAGATGATAGTTTTCTGCAAGGAATCTGATGTAATATATTAGATTGTCTCAATTGACTAGTAGATGTTAGTGGATATATGCACAAAGGATATCTCTCAGACCTCTCTCATCTTTTTAATATGGAAGAAACTATGAATACTTAAATAATAATATGTGTGATATTACACTAGATTAGATTCTCTCTGCTGCACTCAAACTAAGGATACATTGTTTTACCCCTAACCAATAAAACCCCCTGGCTTTGGCATTTTTTTTTTTTAAATTTTAGGTAACATTAGCTATACCCTAAACTGATAAAATCTACATGTTCTAACTGTGAGACAAAAAAGCATCCTAGGGAACAAAAGTGAAAAAATGGAAGCTTTACCTTCAACATGTAGGTGACTATTCAACCCTGTCAAATACAAAATAGAAACACAGATTCAGTCCAATGTCAATCTCTTAACAAACAGATAATCCTTTCTCAAGAAATATACATAGTATTTTGGAGGGAAAAATAAAATAAAAAAGTCAAGAATCAAACCTGTGTGTGAATGAAAATATAATTCCCTTTTACTGATTTCATTCCAACATATATGAATCAAAATAGAATTCAATCTTCTCAGTTACTAGTATATTCTACAACAATGAAAATTAATGAAGTTCCTCATAATAGCTAAATAACTTGGAGTCAAAATGAGGGCAGATGGGGGTAGATGTGTGCTTGTGCCACTTTTCATCTCCATTCGTAGAGCAATGTATGCTCTATAGAAGCAGCAGAGAAATCAATGAAGCTGTTTCTCTACTCCTTTCTTTCTTTATTTATGCTTCTCGTGTCCAAGTCACAGAACTTAACAAGACTTAGACTTGTAAGACTTTCTTGACGGGGTGCGTAAGACAATATGCGATCATGTTAAAGTACGCAATTTGAAGCTAACTTAATAAAAGTCAAGATGTGTGCATTCCTAGAACTCTACAACAAATATCTCACTGGTAACAATGCTGTTTACATGTTCTCTTTTTTCATTTTTATTTTCCTCCCTAGTAAATTGCTACTAGAAAGACCTCTTTGAAGGAAGTAAATCTAGATCGCTAAAAAGATTATAAAATGCAAACACAATGATTTTTTCCCTGGGCTGTGTCTTTGCATCAGGTAGGATTCTAATTCATTGCCATCACCAGTAACATCTAAGCAATCACCTTCAAGCACAACTAAATTTGCTGGAGGCTTTGCAAAAGTGATTCAATTGAGCATCTTATAAAAAACGAGACAAATAAATATATATTATAAAAAATGCATATGTAAAGAACATATATGTAAAGAACATATCTTTACTGGAGGCTTTCCACATTGACATGAAACGGTTTGACTATATGTAAAGAACATATCTTCTATTCTTTCGTACTTTTTTTTTAAAAAAAATTCACAAAACATCGAATCAAAACTCATATAACTCACCCTCTGTTCCTTATAACCAAAAAATTCTTTTCCATCAAATTCTTTTCAATTTGTGATCCATAAGAATATTGGTTTCAGAACCAGGGAATTTGAAGTGAACCAATGGCATGATGGAAAATACGATGTAAATTAGGGTGGTGAAAGTAGTATCTACACTAATTGTTTGTTTTTTTTTTCATTGCATAACTCAGCAGAATGAGAACAAAAGCCACATTACAGGGTCAGAAAGGAATTTAAGATTTCTCATCAACCTATCAAATTCTGAATAAATTCCATTTCATCAACAAATTGAAAAATAAGATTTGAAATATGCTACTGAAGTTGATTCAACCAAACTCCAATTACCAATTTGGGTAGAAGCTCAGAAGCATTAGAAGGAATTCCAGCTCCATCGACTGTCCAAGGTGCATCAGCCGATTTGTTGCTATGAATGTCCTTTGCCCCCGAAGTTATGATCTCGTTCAACCTAGCCTGATGACAGATAAAAAGAAATAACTGCTAAGATAAGGAAATAGTAGCAAAACAATTTTCAATCTGGAATTGTTAAGACTTGAAACATAACTTTATTTGATCAGAAAATATGGTTTGACAATCGCAAATATTCTTTTCAATTTAGTTATGGGCATATCAAATTTCCATCAAATGCTTTTCAATTTGTAACTCAATTGGAGTTCAATCCCTTCAAATCAAAATACCCACTACACACAATTGCCATTAGAGTTTTTCAAATTTGATTCTGAATCTAAATTACATGAACACACCACACAAAGGGCAGAGGAAGAGTAATTTAACTCACACAGAGATATAATCTGATCAATTACATATACAGATAGATAGATTATAGAGAGAGAGTACCGGGATCGAAGGAGGTCTGAACAACCGACTCGTTTTTCTTTGTTAGAGAGATGGGAGACGGAAATCCCTTGCGAGATTTAGAGGCCGGAGAGCTGCCTCTGCGGATTTAGAGGCGACAAACACTCACCTGAACCCAAATCACAGAGGGAGACAAGAAGACAGAGATACAAAGAAGAGACTGAACAGAGAGAGAGAGAGAGGGTCGTCGGTTGAGTGTGGTCTGAGGATCTGTGTGAGTGAAAGACAGAGGGCGATGGCGATTTACGGCAGTGGCGATGTGCGACGGACGTGAGTAATGGTGTGTAGACGTCCCCGAACGTCCCGGGAAAAATCCCGTTTTGTTCATTGGGGCTTACTACAGTTTGGACTCAATGTCACTGTAGACGCGCCCGAACGCCCCGGGAGGATGAGTCCCGTTCTGTTCATATTGGGCTCACTGCAGTTCGGACTCTCGAATTGTCACGGTTCTTAATCTGAACCAAAGAGTCCAAATCCGGCAAATTGTTTTGAGAAAAACAGATTTTTAGAAAAGAAGTGCCAAACATGGACTGCTTTGCTAGATACAGAGTCGCCACCTAAATATTTTATTTTGGGAAATTTAGGAAACCCTGACTTGGTGCCGAAGGCCACGTGTTCGTAATCACCAAAGTTGCCTCGGCTCGGGAACTTGGGTACGATTGGGGAAGGTCAGCTATGAGCACCCCCTCTCGCCCGATCCGAAGATCGGCCTCTACTAACCATGATATCCAATTTTGAAAACATTATGTATTCCTATCCCGGTTATTAGCCTATAATTACTATGTTATGCGCACAGCAAACAAGTATAGACCAAGTTGCCTAAATTGGAACAAAACATTGCATGTTTGTTTATTTGAGGATGATTTGATGGTGCTACCCGCGAGTAGGCTAAGACATGGATTTTGCCACCCTCGAGTGGGCTTAGAAAATATGGTTTTGCCACTCTCAAATGGGCTTAAAATTCGCATCCAATGCATTGTTCCAATTTAAGTAACCCAACCTTCACGCACAGGCATTCAGGCAGTTATAACACATAAGCACGTAACCTCATGGTAAGCATGCTGTCATGGCAAACACTCACACTCATGCAAGATGCTAAAGCATAAAAGCTTACCTAGTACTCCGAGCCAAAACAAAAGCTAGTTAGTAATCAATGCATGATCCTAGCTCATGTTAAGATGGCTAATGCAACACACACAAGATGTAACTACAATAGGCTCGGCTATTCTAAGATGGCATGTGATGATGCTACAACTAACATGTATTCAACTTTAGGATTGAAATACAAATGCAGTTAGTATGATGCGCCGAGCCCGATGCATGTAAGACAAATGTATGGATACACGCATGCTATCATACTGTATGCTAATTGAAACATATCCTAGACTAACCATCAAAAGCTAGTAAATAAAAAGGAAAAAAGATGTGGGGTTGGGAGACATACACACACTCATGCACGCTTATTACACAATTGCCCTCGCTCGGAGGGTCCGAATAAATATTACAGTCCGAATAAATAATACTAAATTAATTATTACAGAATTTCTAATTAATTAATAAATTAAATGCAGAAAGAAGGTGGCCACAGCCTCGCCTCGGGATACGTGAATGATGCGTGCTTGACTCGTCTCACTCGGAAACTCGCTGCCATAGCACTGTTACCTCTATTCACACTACTCTGCTCATCTGAAGACTGTGAAAGTCCCCAGAACTGCTCTTAGAGTGTTGTGGAATGTTACCGGCCAAAAGAATATGCTACCGGCCATGTGAATACTCTCATCGGCTAAATATTGTGCCCTCGGCCAAACATTCTTTGCCGGTCGGCACTCAACACTGCCAGCCGGCCAAACTGCTGAAACCTGCAGTTGACAACAGCAGAGGGCAAGCAGTGTATGGTATGGAATTTTCGAGCAAATGTATGCATGGACACACTCCCTATCATGCAATGAACTCCAGGGAGCATGGCCCTCGACCCTCGGGCCATTAATCGTGCATTTCGATGCATGATGGCCTAAGAGGCCAAGTTTGCAACTTGATGTAAATGCATGCAACAAACAAATAGGTGCCAATACCCTATCATATTGAGATCAAGGACATCGGCGACTAAGGATTGAGACGTGTTACATCACCTTGAGTATGAACACTCCTCAATCTTCGCGCTTGGTTTGACACCCCAAACCAAGCAATGTAATGATGCCAATCATGCAAAATAAGCACGCAAACTAATGAGCCTAAGACTAAGGTATGAAAGGCAACTTTCAAGGGCACTCACAAGATGGCAAACATGGATGCTAGGCTAACATATTAAGCTCTGAAAATGCATAGAGGAAGATGCCAAATCAACCATGTCATGCAAGCAAGGCAAGCAACAATGATCCAAACTTGAAGCCAACCAAGAGGGGTCAAACCATGGCCATGTTAATCAAACCCCAATGGACCAAAATGACCTAAAACAGTCCTAGAGGACTCCAAAACAGGGCTGGAACATGCATGGGATAGGGCCAAAAACATGCTACGAAATGGGCATCAAAACAAAGGCATTCAAGGTCACCAAAAGGGCATTACTCTATACCTCCCCCCACCAAACATGGCATGGACTTTCCAACCAAAAACAGAGTTTTAATGCATCAAAATACACCCTAAAACCTACATGAATGGCAGCCCAAGGACTCAAACACATAGGCATGCACAAGGACTCAAACATGGAGCGTAAGACCACATCTCTTCAAGGCATTGAAAGGATAACAAATGCAAGCATGTAAGCACAAAAAATGGTCTGAAATGTCATAATAAGTGAGTCCAAATCACTGAAATAGCCAAGGTAATGCATGCCGATGACTCACACACCCGATGCCAACATGTTAGAATGCAAAGAGACTACACAAAGCATGAAAGGCATGACCAAATCAACACCCAACAGACCTCAAGCATGGCAAAATATGACCAAAAACTTCACAAAGCTAGGCAAAAAAATGCAATCATGATGGTCTAACGGCAAGATGCATTTCTAGGCAAAATGGGGAAATACAAAGAAAATGTATTATGCATGCAAAGGGTCAACAAACCAACATGGGATAGAGGTATAATATGACGAAAAAACACCTAAAAACCTTTGAAATGGAGCCAAAGACAACTAGGCATGCATGCTACCTTTATAAGCCTTAAACACAAGCAAAATAGACAAAAAGGGAGAGGGGTGTCCCTCCCCTATGCAAGACCTCAAAACCTCTTCTTCACCACTGAAAATCCATTGGATTTCAGTGGTGAGAAGGCCAATACACAAAAGGTTCAAAGCTCAATCAAAGAGGGGACAAAAGGGGCCAAAAAAGGCCTAAGAGGGAGAGGTCGACCCCCAACACCAAAATGACCTTAATGAAAGGTCTTAAGCATGAAAAAATACAGACTTTTTTCAGTTATACACAAAGTCTAAAACAGTAAGCAAGATAGGTAAAAGACTAGTGCAAGATTGGGGAATATAAAGTAAAAGTGTTACCCTTGGAGAATCCTTGAAGAACAGCAAATGCAGCCCTCTTCTTCTGATTGAAACCAGTCCAAAACCTCAAGAACAAACCCTCAATGCCTCCCAAAGTCGAAGTATGGTGCAATAGTGTGTGTTTTAGTGCAATACTATGAACTAAACACACTTTTAGGCTATAAAACACACACAAAATGAAGAGAGAGAGGGAGATATAGAGAGAGAAAGTGTATATCGGATATATATATATATATATTTTGCTCTAGTTTTTGCTGAACCAAACAAAGGAGAGGGTTGGGGCTCTTATATAGACCATGCCAAGACTAAGCTTCCAAGGGGAGCTATTAAAAGGGATCAAGGCTTCTTAAAGAAGCCAAGGCAAAGGGGCCAAGGCTTCCTCAGGAAGCTGGGACAGGTGTCCAAGCTTCTTGGGGAAGCTAAGACAAAGGTCTAAGCTTCCTCAAGAAGCTAAACCAAATGGGTGCAAAAGGGGCAAAACAGCCACATACGCGTATGGGGGTAGGGTCTGTGCACTCCAGCTGGCACAACTGGCATGCACCATGCCTGGAAGAGTCAAAAAGGTGGTACCGGCCAGAAAAGAAGGCCATCGGCCAAATAAATGGTCGGTCGGCTACTTATTTGGTCGGTCGGCTATTTTGACTGGCCGGTCGGCTAAATTGATGGCCAGTAGGTGGCTGCCGAGGCCAAAAAGTGGCCGGTCGGTGTCCAGATTGAAACCCCAGAAGTTAGCTTTCCAACGGTGGTGGCCTCATAGCTAAAATCCAAGTATGCAAATGAATAAGCCCGATTCAGCGAGGGCTGCTCGACTCTCTCCTACCCGGATTCATGCCGAACTTCTCCCAAACTAGTTTTCCTCTCTCTTCTTTCCTCTTTTCTTCAACTCCAAACCCCTAAACAAAGTGTTTTGAAAGATTTTTCAAAGATTTCATCTCTCTTTCATTCATCTCCACTTTGTCCTTGCTTGGTTTACCGAAAAGCGCAACATTTACCGAAATGCGAGCGTCAGAACATCGTAGGAACTTTATTTTCAAAACATTTTGAAAGAGAGGATTTTAAGATCTAAAATCTTTTGATCAAGATTGTTTTGGTCCAAAAGGGGTATGAAGTTGGGATTTGACTCTCTCATTGCTGAAGAATTTGAACCTTTGCCCTGCACACCTTTTGCCACCAAGTAAACCATTAGTAACGCCCAAGTCTTAAGGGCGGTCAAAAATGGGGTGTCTACAGTCATGGTTCTGTATCTAATCTCGCGGAGTGCAATGCAAGACCGATGAATCATCAAAGAGTCCAAATCCGGCAAATCGTTTTGAAAAACTGATTTCTAGAAAGAAGTGTCAAACATGGACTGGTTTGCCAGATACAGAGTCGCCACCTAAATATTTTATTTTGAGGGAATTTAGGAAACCCTGATTCGTGCCTAAGGCCACGTGTCCGTCATCACCAAAGTTGCCTCGGCTCGGAAACTTGGGTACGATTGGGGAAGGTCACTTCGTGAGCACCCCCGCTCGTCCGATCAAAGATCGGCCTCTACTAACCATGATATAGAGTTTTGAAAGTATTATGTGTTCTTATTTCTGTTTATTAGCCTAGAATTACTATGTGATGCACACAACATACAAGTATAGACTGGATCGTTTGAGTTGGAACAAAACATTTCATATTTGTTTTTGAAAGATGGTTTAATGGTGCTACTCGCAAGTAGGCTAAGACGTGGATTTGCCACCCTCAAGTGGGCTTAAGAAAACATGATTTTGCCACTCTCAAGTGGGCTTAAAACTCTCAATTGGTGAATTGTTCCAATTCAAATAACCCAAC